GTGGTGCGTCGGGCCGCGCGCTCTGACTTCGGCCAAGAAAAATGCGTCAGCTGATCATTGTCATTTCTGCCACTTTCATGTGGTGAGATGGGGTCATAACTTTAGAGACGGCTGTTTCATATCAATTATTTTACATAAAATAATATTTCAAATCATAAATTAATGTTCGACGGCCAAATTAAAGAAACAATACCAATACAGGCTTACAGTTTTAATTCGACATTGTGTTGTCTACGATTAGACAGCTGATAACTCATTCCCGTACGTCGTAACTCTATAATGACCTTTGCTTATTGTCACATGTGCGCCGCATTCGCGATTGTTGCCGACGCCTGTTTGCAGGTCAGCCCACTACAGTTGGTATACATATCGAAAAACCGATAAACTTTTAGGCGAAAAAGGCACTATTCCAGGCCCATTTTTGATTTTTTTTGCGATATTAGGTAAAAACAGAAGCTTCTTATCCTAGGAAAAATAAAATGGGAAATCTTTCAAAGGTGGCACACTACCTTTAAATTATGTCTGGTTGAATCTGCTGATTGTTGTTTGGATGTAGTTACCACGGCGGCCGTAGTGCGAGCCGTGATACCACCGGTAGAACTGCGGAAGTTAGTGCATCTTGATGAGTTGCATTAAGTTGGGATAAGTGGAGCGTCCACGTAGGGTGATTTAAAACATCGTTTGCGGTATACAAGTTGTCTGGTGCTTTGATGCTGTCTGCTTGTGGATTTGTACGTCAGCAGTGCTGATCTTCTGTGGTGACAGCTGATGCCACCGACTGTCACCGACTGTCAACAGCTGTCAACAGCTGTCACCGGCTGTCACGCACAGGCAGCGGTCAGTGGATAAGACCGACAAATGCCGCATCTCCGAAAGCCGACTGATCCACTTTACACACACATGTCCCCGACCTTGCCCGGCGATTAGACCGAACTGCGGACTGTTCCACTACGTCTCTGATCGATTCGACGTCTGCTCTCTGTTGAGGGAAGCAGCGCCAAGGTGGGGATGGTGTGGGGTGAGAGGGACCGGGGTGGGTCCGGTGGTCCGGGGTCGAAATCAACAGTCGGAGCACACAGCGACTTCCCGGAGGGGAAGGGGAGGGCAGCGCGCAGTCTGCATATCTCCCAGTCAAGAAAAACGGACCGAGAATCGGTGAATACGGCCTTCCCGGTGAAGAAGTTCAGGACGAATCCTCCATATCACAAAAAAAAGATTATTGATATGGTATTGCAGCAGAATTAAATTGAAACTTGATAGCCACAGACTAGGTACATTCTTCTTCAATATCAAGCATCAATGACTCGTATAACTTGTGTTTCATAACTTGTTAGCATAAAACGACCATCCAAGGTTTAACCCTCGCCGGACCTATTGGTTTTCTACATACGCGCCGGCCGAGGGGGGGGGGGGCGGGTACGACCCCCCTCGCCGTTTCGCCCCTGGTGGAGCTAGCGCGTCGCGGAAAAAACGAGCGTGTGCGCCGTTACGAGACGCAGAGATTGGTACCCGATTTTAAGGTCCTAGGTCAACCAGTGACCTCTGAGGTCAGGTCAAGTGCCACAAGGTACGGTTCAGTTTTTGGTGAATAACTTCGCAAAAAACGGCCGCAGAGCGCCGATTTTGGCAGCATCGTGTTCGTCTCGCTCAGGCGCGTCGAATGATATACTTTTTGTCCGGGTCAGGTCAACTTGGGGTGTTGACCTCAGGTCAAGGTCAGGTCAGCACCCCCAGGTCACGAAGTTGGTCGAAAGAGGTCATGTCGCATATCATTCGATTCGGCAGGTCTTCCTGAGTCCATTGGTGCCTTTCCCGACTCGCTAGCTCAATTTGATCAAGAGTTATTGACGAAAAACTAATATGACCTTGATGACGTCATAAATGACGTCACGCAAGGTCAACATTGCAAAAGTGACGCATCTAACCTTGCAAGGAGTGCATAAAATCACGATTCTGTGTGCTTGAGATAGTTGGAGATCGTTCCCGGCGCCAGAATAGCAGTTTTCATTTTTCCCCATTGACTTATAATGGTGAGGTCACGAAAATGACCTGACCTCATATGACCTTTAGGAAAAATCCGAGATATACAAGTTGTGGGACTCATAATGGATACTAGATCCTGCAAGTTTCATTTCCCTGTGACATCTCCTCTGGCAGTGAGGGCGTTGCGAAGTTGCGACATCTGAAGACCGTGCAGAGGTTCACTTATGACGTCATAGGTCAGTGACCTGACCTGACTCAAAAATGCGGTTGGTGTCAAAAGATGCGGCTTGGATCAAAGGTCAGGTATGCCAAGTTTCAGCTCTCTATCGCCAGCGTGTTCGGAGCTATCGCGAAAAAACCCTATGGGGGGGGGCGGCACCCGCCCCCCCCTCGGCCGGCGAGGGTTAATATCAAACCTTGACTTTGTCTCACGAAACCTGAGCTCTCTTGTCTCATAACTGACGACTCTGTTTTTATTTGTTTGCTCCGCCACGGTCTTACCTAAATGTAATTTTGTTTTTGTTCTTATTTAGCGGATGACTGACTCCTTGTGCCCGGTGCTCAGTGCGCTCTCATTGGAGCAGCGAGACCGTTTTTACCACCGACCGCGACCGTTCTTGTGCCGGTAGCATTAGCGTCGTGTCGTCTGACTCGCGTTCGTTCAGCTTTGATCAATACTGCTAACTCTAATGGCGCACAAATCGGTGGCGTCAACGCCTCAAACCACATCCAAAACACGCCGCTCGCTGCGACACGATAATGGCAAAGCTCGACACCGCCCGAGCGCGTGCCGGGGACAATCAATATCACTCACGGCACACGGCACAGAGCGCACACGGCCAGCTTCGAGCCGTGTTTGTTACTGCACTTCAAGACACACGTGCCGTCAGGTGTGTGCCGAGAATCGCTCAGGATCTTCCCGAGTGTCTTGGAAAAATAGCGCAGGCACGGTCTGTCTCTCACGGTGACAGAGAGCACGGAAAGATTCATTGTTTCGCTCAGAGGAGTTGAGGGATTCTTTCATAACTGAGGGTGATGTAGATGGTTAACGAGTTCAGTAAGTTTTCTCATGAGTGCCAGGTCATTTGTCAAGTATGAAGCCGATCACGGTTCAAAGAACGCATTCTTCATCGTAATAAGAAAGAAGCAGTCAAGCATCACACTTTGGAACTTGAAATGCAGACTAATAAGCCCAAGAGAGTGTCATTCCTGGATCGTATACCTAAGGAGAACCAATAAAGTTGATCCGTTTCCCTACTAGAGATCCTTTGTTCAAATTATAGTGATATGGCATTCCGCAGAACCGCTGGAATGCAACGAATAAAGGTTCATGGGCTTAGAAATACTTTCTTGTACAGTACTCAATGCATACCTATTGTTCAATACAGGATGCAGGTATTTGCCAGAATAGTCGCTGCATGACGAAGGAGAATAGGTGAAAGTTTTCGTTCCATGACTTCTACTTTTTTAGAATAGCTTGGCACTAACTTCTTCGACGCTAGTTTTTCTTCCTGCGTGGCAAAGAAAATATGCGATCACACTTTACAGGCCAGATGTAGTTTTATCACTTCGTGCCCACCGTATGTGAGCAGGCTAAGTTCTCAATCAGGCGGTATACACCATTTTCGAACCAAGTTAAGACAAATGAAGCCCAATTTAAAACTGTTGATTTTTGAATTAAAACAATCGAAAAGTGGGTAAAAACACGTGCCATTCAGCTTAACCCTAGAACGCCTAGGGGGGGGTTGTATCAACCCCCCCCCTGAGGTTTTTTCGAAGTGCACGCTAAACGGCTTGTCGTAGCGGGCTGAAATTTTCAATACCCTCTGGGGCAACCTTTGCGCATCTTTTGCCGAAAAAAAATTGATCGGGTCATGTCAGGTCACGGAGTTATGACGTCATAAGAGGTACAGCCTCCGGCCGGATTTTCACAAACTGAGTGCCAACGCCCGAGGTTTCCTGCCGGTGGTACGGACATCGGTTGATGGATCGTGATGAAACTTCCCATGCATGTTGGGGCAAGTATTGGCTATCATATGGTATAAGAAATTTGACCGGGTCAGGTCAGGTCACGGAGCTATGACGTCACAAGAGGAACAGCGTCCGGTACTATTTTTGAAAAGCGCCCGAACCACTATTTTGCTAATTCTTGTCACCTCAATGGGAATATGCAGCAATATTAGCTTCTATAGGGAGCAAATGGACCTCCCAAATCCAAAAATACAATCAGATTTCAAAAATTTAACTTTTGATTTTTCGAATTTCTGCCGCCGACTGTGACCTTGCCGACTTCCGGCGCTCCCAACGCGCCATTTTTAGAGCTAGGGAAACGAAATACATACCAAACGATAGAGAATTGATCAAGGAACACGATAGTGAAGGTTTCAAGTCGATATCTCCCACCGTTTTGCCGCAATCGCCGCCGAAAGTTGAAAAAAGTCTATTTTTCCGAAAATTTGACCTTTGACCGGTCAAAAGTAGGTCAAATGTTGACCTAGGACCAAAAAATATACCACCAATCGCGAGATCTCGTTGAGAGCAATCCGTTGGTTTTTTCCGCTAAGCTCTACGACCTTCCGTTTCGAAACGCCAAGGGGGGGGGGTCGTAACAACCCCCCCCCCTGGTCGTTCGTGTTATGAGAAATGGCCTGGTCGTGCGAGGGTTAAAACAACTGACACGCGAAACCACGTGTTGGTCGTTTTAAGCTGAATGTCACGTGTTTAAAAAAAAATCGATTGTTTTAATTAAAAAATCAACAGTTTTAAATTGGGCTTCATTTGTCTTAACTTGGTTCGAAAATCGTTAGGGTGCAGGCCCCGTGTAAAGGCGGACATTTGGCCAGATGGGGATTAGAAGAAAAAAAAACATGTTCTTGATATTATCAAGAGCTTTGGAAACTGCATACGTTCCATGCGCTTATGAGACATTTGTTGCGCAGTGTGTCCTCCCTGTACAGTGTATATTGCCGCCAATTTCTCGGCATTTCCAGCGGTTCAAACGTTTCTTCTGAGTTTTCGTTATTTGAAAAAGGTGTTTAATCGCCCGATCAATGTAGTGGAAGGGGTGAGTCGGCCAGTGATGTCGAGGTAAGCCACCAATTAAGTGCAGCCTGCTCTTCAGTCTTCATGGACTAGACTGAGATGCTTTTTATTTCTGAGTATAATTATAGCCCGACTGGTGTGACATCATTCCTCACTTGTTGCAACAAAATTTGTTACTTCTTTATCCATTCATATTCTTTTCCTAAAGCTGCTGTTATTTTTTCGCAACTTGTTAGGTCACAACCCTTTCACTAAGCCTTTACGCAAGCCCTTCGTAACCCTTTCGCAGCCTTTTTATAACTTATTCGAAACAACCCTTTCGTAAACTCATGGTAACCCTTTCTCAGCCTTTTATTAGTTTATTCACAGTAACCCTTCATAACTTATTTTTAACTATGTGCAATATTTTCATAGCTCATTCAAAATAACCCTTTCGTAAATTATTTGCAACCCTTTCGCGACATTTTCCTGACTCATTCGAAAGAGGCTTTTCATTAACTTATTGTAACCCTTTCACAGCCCTTTCATAATTCATTCAAAGCAAATTTCTCATAGATTATTTGTGACCCTCTGACAACTTTTTCATATCTCATTCATAAAATCTCTTCATTAACTCATTGTAACTCTTTCGGAACCTTTTCGTAACTCTTTTGAAGGAACCCTTTTGCAAATTCTTCATAACTCTTTCACAGCCTTTACATAACTCATTTCAAACAACACTTTTGTTAACTTGTTGGAACCCTTTGGCAAAATTTTCATATGAGTCATTCGACACTGCCCTTTTGTAAAATATTTGGAACCCTTTCACAACATTTTTATAACTTGTTTGAAGTGATCTTTCATAACTACCTTTGACATCAGCTTCCCAAGTATGTATTGATCTTCCCTATTTAACATTGATGTAACAAGCAGTGCCTACTAAATTTATTAGTATGCCATTACCACCCAATGTCATTACAACATGCTGCTGAAATCAGAACATGTGTCACTCATGTGCAGTTTCAAGAATTGTTGTGGTGGCTCTGCAGTCTGCAACCCACTTCATTAAACGGCTGCTTGTTAACTCCTCAGATAGTAGGCACATGCTTCTAAGTCTAACCTGCATATATTAATTCAGGCTGCTTTGAAAAATTGACTTACTTTCTTTGAAATTGGTATCCCATTTGTCAAGTACCTAGGTAATATGCTCTTTTTTCTGGGCTGATTCATAGTAGTGGCAGTGTCAGTTATCAGTTTGTATTTATTGTTTTACAAATTAGAATATTACCATCAGGCTGCTCAGTGCTCACGCATGAATGTGAAGTTTCACTGGTGGGGACCGAAATTCCTCATAATATCTATTTACTAGGGTGGCACTAAAACGGGGCTAAAATTTCGTTTTGAGAATTTTCAACAGGACGGGCAGCCAATCTGTTCTACCACCCGAGAAAACGTTGTGTGTAAAATATTTTTGAAAAATATGTTTATTTAGTGGTAGCTCAACCAGGTCAAAGTTCACATTTTTGTGAAAAAACACAACTTTGCCGAAATTTTAATTTCCACGTGTATTTCTGATGTTCACAATGACATTGGACGCTGCCAAGACTTTATCGAAACGTTTCAGCATCTAAAGCTCAGATATATAGGTACATATGAGGCACATAATTCTTTTGAAGGTATGCATAACTTACTGCATAACTCCATGAAAAGAGAAAGCGGTATCATCCGAAATCAGCCAACACTTGTACACATCATTCGTCGGCTAGTCTTGCCTACTTAGAAGCTACGATCGCCTTGCGTATGTCAGAATGCTTGCGTCTTTGCTCCTCGACGACCTACAAGAGGAGCTGCTGTTAGTCTTTATCCTTCGTGGGGGTCAGATCGATTTCCTGGCCATCAACAAAATGCCTCGTTCCGCGAAGTCGTAGAGGCGTGAAGAGACCTCATGTAGCGCATGGCGGCGTTGTAGAATGGCTTGACCTCCAACTCCAAGGAATCAGATCCTTCAAGAGGAAGTCGGTGTCCATACCGAGGATGCTGAAGAAGCTTGTGAAGCCAGTTGTGATATGACGAAGTCTGCCGTGGACTTGCTAGAGACTGAAGCTAAAGTAAGTTCAACGTGGGCTCGACGGGGGGGGGGAAGGGTTACTCGGCCCTCTCCTTCTCTCGTAACGATGCAGCCATCTCACGTTTAGTAGCAGCGATCGTTATCTCCTTCATTAGAAGTTGAGGGCGACCAGCCTCTCATTTAGATACCAGAGGTGACGGCTGAAGGCAATGGCTATCGTCTTGGACACCAATTCGAACACCAATTCGTCCAATTCGTACTCCAGGAGGGACTTGAGGAAGTCGAAATCTTGCGCTGGTGCAGACGCCAGAAGCGGTGCATTGAATCGAGCCGAAAACTACGTTATTCCTACAAAGGTCACGATTTGTTGGAGGCTCTTCTTCTTAGACGTAGTGAGCCGGGATTGTGCTCGGAAGAGGTAAAACTTCATAGCGTAAATGGCATTGGTCAACCAGCACACAAGGAGCATATCGAGGCGAGCGATCTTCATACCTCGTTTCGGAGCACCACCGAGGACAGTGATGGCCAGCTCCAGCATCTCACGGTACGACCGAACTGTGCAAGAGCATCACGCGGGTTGTGGAGGTGGGACATGTCACAGTTTTTGAAGGTTTATGGCTTCGTTCTATCTAGACGCCCACTTTTTATGGAAGCGCTTAAACAAAACAACGTCTAGGCCGCTGGACGGGCCGAGGCAGGCTGAAAATGTCTTTATAGAACAAACTCGTAAATGTCGTGGCAGGTCAGGTGGAGCAAGTCCTGCTCAAGCCGCTGCTTGATGATCGTGCAGGCTCCTACATTGAGACCGGTATTCGATGCACTTGTGTCAAAACTGAGCGCTTTCACTCAATCATTCAACTCTCACTCATCGAGGGATTCTTGAACAGCGTTTGCTGTGGCCTGTCAATTTGAGCCTGGCTAGCGAAAAATGTTCTGAAAAGGCTTAGCAAAACAGTCAACTTATCTTTTTCACGTGCACGTCTTCTCCCTGACATCACGAAGACACGGAGACCTGCCCTGTGGCCGTACACTGGCAGTGTCCCCTGCGCATCAGTAACCGGGGATATACATCAGCAGAGTAAATGCGTATTACAAACGGATCACAATACTCAGCAAAGAAAAACCATTCCTGATACGCATTTATTTGCTCATGTAACCCCGGTAAGTGCCAGCAGTCTTGTGACCCTTCCCAACCATCGTAATACGAAAGAAGAGCTGAGGTTGCACGCCTGGCAGCGGGCTACCGTCACCGAACAAAATAAGCTAAACTACGCTGAACGGTCATTGGTTGAATCACGCATTGCGTCACAGCGCGTTTGCGGCGAGAAACACTGTGGTTATGAAACAAATAGAAAGGCATCTATCATTCATTTAAACGTATTACAGCTCAAATATGACAATACTTGGAATGGCGCGGCACACATCTGAATCCCCGTTCACAATATACGTTTTCTCAATATGTACTAAGTATGACCCCATTGAGCTACCTCTAAATATAAATATTTTTTTATAAAATTTCATACAGATCATTTTTTTCGTGAGGTAGAACAATATGGCTACCCGTCCCGGTCGAAATTAAAAAAGTCGAAATTAAGTGCCACCCTACTATTTACCTAGGGCTAAGGGGTTTTAAATATGAGCCTTCTGGTGAATGACAGTGACACTGAAGAAAATGTTTTTGTGACAATTTGGCTTTTCTTTCCAGATGAGTGCGATGCCTACGTGCATCAACGTTTAGTGGACCTAAAGGACATCGTCAGCACCGAGATTTGCCAGCTGGAAACGCAGTGGGGCTACACGCAATGGAGGCACGCGTACCACTCGTCCTAGACAAAGAAACGTCCTCCGTGCTTCCGACGAACTTCAATCGGCGCGAAATTCCTAAACCTGGAGTCACGAGTTCATTCAGAGTAAAATAGCATGGCGAGGAAAAATCACTGTTCGGGACGAAAAGTGGAGTTCAGCAATTTAGATAAAGCCGGCCGTCACAAAATCATATTGTTCTTGTTTTTGCCCTCCTGCCATGGATTTCCTCGGCCTCCAAAGCGGGATGCAGCTGCGACTGCTACTTCTAAAAGTGTGTAAAAGTCATGAACCTATCGGACGATAAGTCGTGATCTCGATTAACTTCGCCACGAGGTTGCGAACTTAACCCTAGAACGCCTAGGGGGGGGGGGGTTGTATCAACCCCCCCCCCCCTGAGGTTTTTTCGAAGTGCACGCTAAACGGCTTGTCGTAGCGGGCTGAAATTTTCAATACCCTCTGGGGCAACCTTTGCGCATCTTTTGCCGAAAAAAATTGATCGGGTCATGTCAGGTCACGGAGTTATGACGTCATAAGAGGTACAGCCTCCGGCCGGATTTTCACAAACTGAGTGCCAACGCCCGAGGTTTCCTGCCGGTGGTACGGACATCGGTTGATGGATCGTGATGAAACTTCCCATGCATGTTGGGGCAAGTATTGGCTATCATATGGTATAAGACATTTGACCGGGTCAGGTCAGGTCACGGAGCTATGACGTCACAAGAGGAACAGCGTCCGGTACTATTTTTGAAAAGCGCCCGAACCACTATTTTGCTAATTCTTGTCACCTTAATGGGAATATGCAGCAATATTAGCTTCTATAGGGAGCAAATGGACCTCCCAAATCCAAAAATACAATCAGATTTCAAAAATTTGAATTTTGATTTTTCGAATTTCTGCCGCCGACTGTGACCTTGCCGACTTCCGGCGCTCCCAACGCGCCATTTTTAGAGCTAGGGAAACGAAATACATACCAAACGATAGAGAATTGATCAAGGAACACGATAGTGAAGGTTTCAAGTCGATATCTCCCACCGTTTTGCCGCAATCGCCGCCGAAAGTTGAAAAAAGACTATTTTTCCGAAAATTTGACCTTTGACCGGTCAAAAGTAGGTCAAATGTTGACCTAGGACCAAAAAATATACCACCAATCGCGAGATCTCGTTGAGAGCAATCCGTTGGTTTTTTCCGCTAAGCTCTACGAGTCTCTACGAGCCGCTAAGTCGTTCGTGTTATGAGAAATGGCCTGGTCGTGCGAGGGTTAATGAAAATGTTCCTGTCGGTGTTCTTGTCCATGATCGGTCCGTTGTTTCTTCGTATTGTGATTTAACTACTGGGCGGGCAGAATCTATGCAAGTGTTTACCCAACAACCTGTTGAAAAACAGGACGGAATGCGACATGCCTTGACGCAGGACGGCCGGCGACTGTTGAAGGCAGCTAAAAATTGTTATGCGACTTGAATTGCGAGCGAATGTGCACCTATCAAAATGTTGGCGCATCAGAATCTGGTGCGTGAGCGTGCGTGTCAAAATGTGTTTATGTGACTGCATTAGATTTGTGATAAATGTATTGATATGCTACTTGCGAAGAATATACATTCTATGTGTACGCGACGTTGATTGCGTCAATATGACGAGATTGAACATGAAAATAACTGGCCCGCACACTGACAGGTATCTCCCATCGCCGCCATGCCTAGGTACCTACATGTTTGGATCATGCCTACTGATACTTTGATTAGGTAGTAAATTTTTAAGATAAAGTAATTATGTTCAGGTAAGTGAAGTTCTCCAATTTTACTCTTATTTGAAACGCTTAAGTAGCCAAATTTGAAAGAAATAGCTTTAGCGTTTGTCCCCTCACCTTAAAAATCAGTTTTGCCCGGATAAGGCCTGAGACCGCTATTGCACCCAGTGATTGGCAATGAAGACACGGGGTAAAAGCAGCTTAGGCTAGGCGCAATGGGGGTATGGGTACCATCATTCGAACAGCAATTAATTGCTGTTTGATTATCTACTGGGGCATTAACGTAATATTCAACTTTGACTGAGTTGTAAGCATTGAAATATAGTAAAAGTGTATGTTATATCGACCGATAACGAAAACAATCGCGTCAAAAGTAGCATAAGCCATCACTGACTTGTGACTACTATGCATTTTTAGAAACCTTACTTTGTGGGCTTTCGTATTCTGGTGGGGCATTTATCGAAGGTGTCATTTATTCATTAATTTTATTAGTTAATTATGGTGATACCACAATTTTGCCTAGTGCTTGCTTATCAAGACACGAGAAAAAAGTAGCTTAGGGTAGGCACCATTGAGGCATGCGTAACATCATTCGAACGGCAATTAATTGATGTTTAATTATCTACTGGGGCATTAACGTAACATTCAAATTTGACTGAGTTGTACGCATTGAAATATAGAAAAAGTGTATGTTATATCGACCGATAACGAAAACAATCGCGTCAAAAGTAGCATAAGCCATCACTGACTTGTGACTAACACACATTTTTAGAAAGCCTACTTTGTGGGCTTTCATATTCCGGTGGGGCATTTATCGAATGCGAAATATGTGCAATGATATTATTAGTTAATTGAAGTGATGCAATTATTTACTTATCAAATTATCCATTAAAATACCTATTTACATCGCGAGATGTATCATGAAATTAAGCTATAATACGAAATGCATTATTCTTAAATTTTCAGTAAAGGTTTCGTTGACGCATAACGTATCGTTACTAAATAATTTGAATTAACGTGCGATCCGTTGCGATAGTTCCGACCGCCCGCCGATGGTGGCGCTGGTGTCGCTCCGGCCGTTATGGCCGCGGCCGCCGCCTATCGTGGTGTACATAGAACAGGACCAGGGCAACATGCCTCGCTTAGTGAATGCACTTTTCTCAGAAATCTAAGAACTGAAAACATCGGACAAGAAGCTGAAAGAATAACAAGCTTTACCAGCACAAAAGGCACAACAATTCTCCCAATAGAAGGCCTAGCTAATGCTGGCTAGCGTAAATTAACGATGAGGAAAAGAAATTGAACTGGCCTGAACGTATTAATACGAGGGTTGAACCAAAAGCAGAAAGTCCAAAAGCATGGTTTTCAAGCACTTCGTCGTCATGAAGCGCTATAAGTTGGGTGAGAGATTCCATATGAGGGACTTATTGACAAAGCTTTGGAAAAGTCTCCCTTAATTGCATTTTCATTCACCATCACTTGGTTGAGGACTCATACCAAAAGCATCAACATGTACCACAATGATTAGTTGCCAAAAACACTGACTATAGGGTGACTTGAGTTGTAAGGCGTATCCACAATACATGCACGAAAACTTCCACCAATGCCTAACCACAAGTTTGAACCCAAACATCAGACCAGTATAGAAGAGAACCAAAGCTAGTGAGCTGTGTGGTAGTGACGGTGCCGTTTCTAGCACCCCGACCAGGAGGAGGCGTGCGCGGGTCGACGGCGAGCATTATTACGTGTGCAATTGGTGGTCGAGTGGGCAGCGGCCGGCGCACTGTGGTCTTCTTGATTAGTGTTTGCGTCGTAAGTCGCCACACTCAGTGGCTACAACGCGCGCTGACCGAGAGGGAGGGGGAGCAGAGCGGGCTGACCGCTGCTGCAATCACGCACACATAAACCGTTTTCAGGACGGTTGTTTTTGCTGCGTTGGTATTGTATTAAAGAATACCAATTCAGGCTACGTAGTACTAGGTGAGCCAAGACGTTGAACTTGAGCGAGAACATAAGCTTGAACATGCTTGAAAATGAAAGTTTTTTTCTTTGAAAACTGCCATGCAAATTTGGAGTAAAGTAACAACGCAGTTATGCTGCGTATGATCGAATTCTTTTCCGACGCCTTACAATTTTTGTTAGCATTTATCCAATTCCCGTTTATGGTAATAAACATGTTATAAGTATTATGAAATTAGATATTTGCTTTGATATAGTCAACACTGCAAGTAGGAAGCTGATGGGCACGATGTTCCCACCGAGCGTAAAAATACAGGTAGGAAGTATATCAGGTGGAATATGCCAGCCATCCCGGCAGCTCAATGGCAAAAGCAAGTGATATGTGATAACGAAAGGAATGGACTTTTAGTGACGAGATATCCTATTACTTTTCTGATAATTGAGGCAAAATTGCTAATAATGATAGCTGATTCAAATAATCAATGTAGTTACATACATATGGGGAGGGGCACATAAGTGACGTGGTATAACGGCGTAGGTGTTGCAGGTAAGCAATTGAGCATTGTAAGATTTTAAGTGAACGAGAGCATGACCTGAGTAGGCATAACATTACAGCACGGCCTGTGTTACATATACGTGCCTGTAATGATTAATATTGGAAAATCGTAAGGGTTTTTTGTTTTCTAAGCCCGCACGAGCAGTAAGATCGTAATATCGAAGATAAAAGCATAATATCTTGTGTATTTAACGTATTTAATGGTGGCAATATTTAACTTAGCAGAATTTTCAGAGCCTCATAAAACTAATGGCATTAGTTGCAGTGTTCAGAGCTTCTCACGGTTTCTCCCAATATCAAGAAAAAACAATTACAGAAACGTAGAGGCTTAGGTGTTTGGATCGGAAGGAAAGCAAATGACAGCCTGATGCGATAGATTAAGTAATGAAACAAAAAGAATATCCAAGGAAGATTCTAGCTTTCATTAAAATTGACGAAGAAAATATTTTTCGTGATAAAAAGAATGCTTCTCACAGTCCTTTCAACAATTATTCATGTATTCATCCTTCCGAAATACTATGCAGCACGTCAATCGTGGCGCACAAGTGGAGTTTCCCGTGAATTGCTTCAGTCCGAGTGACATTATACAAACATCCCAAAAGGCGGCTTATTGCGTCTCAGGCATTCGAAATGAACGGCGGTTGGCATTCACATGCTGGCAATACAATCAGGGCACTTTATTGTCGGTGCTGTCAGCGTTCCCCCCGGCGCACGGCTCGCTAAAATATTGGACTCGGGCCGCTGAGATGTTTGGAA